TTTTTTTTTTTTTTTTCAATTTTTGTTTTCAAAAAAATTTTGCCATTAGGGTTTTCTCTTAAACCTTCCAGGCCGTGATCAAATTGAACAATTGTTCATCCTTTAATCTTGGAAAATAACAATCAGGTTCGTGCCCTTTGTAATTAACAAGTAATCTATTTTGACTTTTTTTTATAAAAAAAAAAAATTCTTATTTATCTCCCTTTCTACAATATTCGAACTTGCATCGATCCAAGGGGTAGGTCCACGTTTTCTGGTTCCTTCGTGTCAGTTGACACGCCCGGTGTACTCTTTTGAGTTTTCTAGTTTTTAATATAATCTATGGTTTCGACAAAAAAAAAAAAAATTGTATATGCAGCAATTCTCTTAGAATTAACCTTTTATGATATCTAATGTTGTTCCATTTTGCAATAATCTTGCCAATTATTATTTGAATGAACGTGTGTATGAATCCTATGTGTGTGTGTGTTTTTCTCTCAGGTAGATCTTTACTCACAAGTGAGTGAAGAGTTTATTAGTGTTGAGATACTATATACAAGTCTTGGATTATGTTATCAATATTTTGAAATACTTTAATACAACTTTTAAACGAAACGAACTGCTCGTGCACTCGGCATGGCTCGATTCGTTAAGGTTCGAGCTCGATCTCGTTAAGGACGTAAAATTCAATCTAGTGCCCTCAAGGTCTTCTACGGTTGGATCGTGTTTTGATCTCAACAGTAGAAAACACTGTGCTCACGAATTGGTTCTAATTTTTCAGTTGGTGTTACTCAAACTAAGGGTGATCATGATCATGAAACAAACCTGAATTAGTTGATTTTGATTTTGTTCTTGTTTCTTGATCCTTATCCATCCTCACTGAATTTTGCGCATTTGCACCCGGAAAAGACACCAAGGCAAGCGTTATGCACGCGTTTTTTCGTGTCACTTGTGTACATTTTATCGATTATTACTATTTATCCGTTTAGCTAACCTTGACGTATGTATTCTTAACTCGACGTGCTTTATTTTTCGGCAAGATTTGTTACCTCTCTTCTTACTTTCAACGGAAGCTTCCGGCGTCATCTGTTATCGTGCCTTTTTTTTTTCCAGTTATAAAAGATGACAAAACTTGGCACACATTTTTAAGTCCTACATTGTACTCATCAGTGTTTTAAATATTTTAGTTTTGTTGAGGATCAACTTGTTCCTGTTCTGTATCATTTCATCAGTCTTGCCATGATGTAGATGGTGTAATAGTTTCTGCTTTTCTGCATTGATTCTAAAGTTGGAAATATGATTCATTCGTTCGTAATTAATGGTTCGCTTTTTCCAATTTCAGGAGAAAAAAAGCTGTTTGTCGTGGATGATATACATTTGCAGAAGAAAATGACACTTTTCGTTTTATAAATGCATAGCGTCTTTGAAGATGAGGTATATGTATATATTGCCCTGCTTTAGAACGATTCTGTCTTTTGTTTTTCCTCAGATTGTGTTAATCTTCTCCATTCTTGTAAAGAAAAGAAAATCGGTTATTATTTGCGTGTTAATATAACCGTAATTTTATGCTTCGAATTAGATTTCACGAATCCTCGACTTAATGGACTGCACACCAGGCAGCAGTGACGAAACCACATTGAAGAGATGGTTTTTCATCGATAAAAGGGTGGGTTAGTAGGGTTGTTATTATCGGCCGTGCTTTCTGAGGTACAACTCGTTTGGTCGTTAAATTATACGCATTTTTGTGGTTAAATTAAGAGCCCTCCGAAAATCCGATGGACGTGAAGTCAACGAAATCCTCGCCGGTTCTCGCAGGCCCCGTGCCGATAAAAGAAGAATCGAATCTCGGGATCAAATCTGGAGGGTTGTCATTCTCTAGAAGCATCCCCACCGTTACAAGGAAAAACCTCGATGATGTATGTTCCAATGGTTGTTTGGATGCCATGAGATCATCCTCTCCTCCTCGCAAGAATATCTCGAAAGATTTCGACGGTTTTGCCGATAATGTCATGGACAATGCGGAAATTTCATATCTCTCTTGGATGGTGTGTTTTTGTTATTATTAATTTTCATTGTCATTAGTATTCTTGTTTTAAATGTTCGATTCATTTTATGTTTGAGTTTTTAATTATCGAGACCTTGTTATAATCGTTGCATATTTTGTAGATTAAGTACCCATCAGCTCTTGATTCGTTCCAAACGATCGTGGATCGAGCGAGGGGTGGGAAATTGGTCGTTTTTCTTGACTATGACGGCACTCTTTCGCCCATCGTGGATGACCCGGATCGAGCTTTTATGTCCAATGACGTAAGAAATGTGATAATATGCATCTACTAGTTTCGATTTTTTTTTTTTTTTTTTTTTTTGTGTGATAAATGTGATTTGGTTTTTATCAGATGCGATATGTTGTAAGGAGCGTCGCGGAACATTTCCCGACCGCGATCATAAGTGGAAGAAGCCGTGATAAGGTGTGCATTAATACACTTTTCTAATAATGGAAAAAGTCCCCCAACAATTTAAATATCTGTGTTACAATTATGATATCGATCTATGTTATTCTTGTTAAGGTTTACGAATTGGTCGGACTCAGTGAACTCTATTATGCCGGTAGTCATGGAATGGACATCATTTTTCCGGCCAAAGGCATGGTTAATCTCAAAAATCACTCAAATTGTGCCAAATTTACCGATTGCAAGGTATTACTTTTCGATAGCCCGTGATTTGTTGTTTATGTTTTGTTTTTTGGTCATGATTCGCGTTTTTGTCTAACGAACGATTGTACAGGGAAAAGAGGTTAATTTATTCCAACCGGCTAGTGAATTTATACCCATGATCGACGAGGTTTGTTATTTCATAAAACTTGAACAAAAAAACTATATATATGGCTGAAATGCATCGATCGGGTTGAATAAATAGCCACACATTTCTTATATTTTGTTGGTTTCCAGGTTTTCAGAAAGTTTGTTGAGATTACACAAGACATAGAAGGCTCGAAAGTTGAGAACCATAAGTTTTGTGTCTCTGTACATTACCGCAATGTAGATGAGAATGTAGGCATTAAACTTACTTCCTCTCTCTTAAACTTTATCAATATGTCACAATATGTCTTATTAAAATTGCAGAGGTGGCCTGTAATTGCGCAATATGTTCATGATATTTTGATCGACTACCCTAGGCTTCGGCTAACTCATGGACGAAAGGTAATTTGTCGAGAAAAAAAAGTCAACACGATTAACAAAACCAGTCGAATTATGTTTTTGTTCGTCATATATATCTTGCTATGATCAACAGGTTTTGGAGGTTCGTCCGGTGATCGACTGGGACAAAGGGAGAGCAGTCGAGTTTCTTCTTGAATCGCTAGGTGAGTCGATCGATTAGACTACTAATACTGCTATAAATCATACCGATTTCTAAATCACCTACGATAATATAATTGGTCGTGTAGGATTTAGCAACGATAATGAGGTTCTCCCGGTTTATATTGGAGATGACAAAACGGATGAAGATGCATTCAAGGTAAGATAAAACATTCTTATTGTTTTTACTACAAAATGAGTTATTTCTTTAATATACATTTATTTTTATCACATGTAATGTAAGAATTTATAGATAATTTGGGGCTCCAAAATTTCTTTAATATACATTTTTGTGTTTTTTTTTTTTTCATTTTTTTTTTTTCTTTTCTTTATAGGTGCTAAGGAAGAAAAATCGTGGCTATGGTATACTTGTATCCAACGTGCCCAAAGAAAGTGATGCATTTTTCTCTCTTAGGGATACTTTAGAGGTAACTAACAACATATATCCACATACATTCATATGTTATTCATAGTTTTTATTTTGATGTTAATTCTCGATGTTAGCTTGGAGAATCATAATGTTTCAAAAGTAGTCACATAATTATGCTACGGTCCTGTTACGGAACCATTCCGTCGGTGTTTGCAACCGTTAGATCAACTATTCTCGACGGTTACATGATGATCTAACGGTTACAAACCTGACAGAATGGTTTCGTAACGGAACCGTAGCATTTCCCTACATTAAGATGCATCGAAAGTAGTCTCTTTAAAATTCAATTAATCAATGATGGTTACAATAACTTTTCAGCTTGACCTTATATATATATTGAGAATAATTTTGTCAAAAACATCAAATAATTTTAATTGCCTTGAGATAATTTTAGATAGAAATTTCAAACTTCGGTCCAAATTTAATCATATATGTGTGCAAATCACGAGATTTCTATTAATTAATTGAATTTCAATGAGTTTACTTTCGATATTGATCGTAAATTACGAATACTTGCAGGTTCAAGATTTTCTGGAATCACTTGTGAAAATGACTGAGAAAGATGCAAAGACAGATGAAAAAGTACAGATAATACAGACTAATTGTGATATTAAACAATAGTAAATCATAATACAGACTAACTGTGATATTAAACAGTAGATTTACTATAGTGTTTTTAATTATTAATGTGGGAAAAAAAATAAAAAAAAAAAAAAGATTGTTATATGGATTAGACCTCTAATTTTGTCTTTTTATCTTTGGATTCTCTTATAAGTTTTGCTAATTTGTTGCCTAAGTAATGTTATTTCAAGTACTGCAAAATGTTATATGCTTTTCCTTAAATTTTCAGAATTTTTTAATAAAAGGTTTGTACAACTCTTGGAGATACTAAAAGTAGTCACTTTATAGAATTCAAAAATGTTTTTAAGTTTTATTTTCAATAATTTTACATTTATATATGTTATAATATACTTACTAATATTATCTACAACCATTTTGTTGAAGTTTTATTTAAAATAATAGCTTGTATTAATTTTAATTTGTTGGTTCTTTACATAGTACAGTATTATACAAAATGTCCTTATTTTCTATATTCATTAGGTTAAATAAAAGAGATTCTTTCATTTGTTATGATAACATGATTAACATCATACATTTCACTAAAAATAATTCTATCTAATTGTCTCCTTATTTTGTTTAGAAAACTGCTCATTTAACGATCCAATAGCATTTATATTGCACGTTTACAATTCATGTATGTGTTATTATTTACTATTTACTAAAATTAACCAAAGCTCAACATTTTATTTGCACAATTACGAGACAAGTTTAATATTAAATCTTGAGTGGCAGTGGTTCACTTGGCTCGCTGAAAAGCGGGAACGACTGGTGGAGGCAGGGGCGAATCTAGCTAATAGAATGAGTGGGGGCCTAATCGTTATAAGAAAAAAATATCATCCTATAATAAAAGTATAAATACAAAAAACGCATTTAGTATATAATATACTTATTAGTTTTCATATATAGCTCAACATCGTCGTATAATAACATCATTGAATTTTTTTATCGCACTTTCTTTTGGCCAAAGTCTAACAATATTAGATTCGCTTCAGGTATATTTGGAAATAAAGTATCTCATTTTAAAATATTTTAACGTGAACTTTTTTCGAGGCATTTTTAAAAAATATTTCTCCATAATTAATGTAAAAAATAAATAAATTATAATGTATAAAAAAATTAATGTATAAAATGCTTTACTAATATATAAAATTTTTAAGAGCCTACAATTTCAGTTATTAGCCACACACAAATTATAGTAGATGATGTCTTTTTTTTTTTTTTTTAAATTAAGAAGCAACAATCAATTAACTAGAAGAGTGCTAAAAAATACAATAAGTGTGTAAATTATTTTTACAAGTTTAGTAAAAAAAAGGTTAAAATTACTTTCATCAAAATTAGTAAGAACAAGAATTTCTTTTCTCCATTAATTTTCTCTTTTCATTTATTTATTTATTTATTTATTTGTGTTTATGTAAGTATTGTCTTTAATTTTTATTTTTTTATTTTTAGTAATAGGATATTAAGGTATTTTTTGAGTTCTAGTTGTATTTAATACATAATAATTTTATTTTTTAGTGTGGGCCTAGGCCCGCACTGGTCTATATATAGCTCCTCCCCTGGGTGGAGGTGATCTGTCGAGGACCTCGAAGACGAACGATTGCAGCTGTGGGTTCAACTCGAGAGCAATCGTTGGCGTAGACTCAAAGACGCAATGACGACCATGCCTGGCGCAGACTCCTGTCACGTCGTCTATACAAACTTTTTCATATTATTTTTCTTTCTTTTTTTTTAACGCGGCCAAGGACAGATGTGAAAGGGCAGCAAGGCTCTGTAAATTTATTTGGGGTGGTTGGGTGCTAAGCGCAAATAATTAGGTGTGCCCTGGCACACCTTGCTAGGTGTGCCAGGGCCGAGAGTGAGCTCACGTAAAACAAAGGAGAGTGACTTTAAATTAAAATTGTTGTCCAATTTTTTTTAGCTCACGCGTAGAGAGAGGTAAGACAAAAATGGGGCTCAATTTCTTCTACCAAAATTGGGCTCATTTTTCAAGGTAAGGGAGGTAAGACATTTTTTTTAAAAGAGACATGTGTCCCATTTCTATTGGATGATGAAATTCATATATCATTTTATATAAATT